TTAAGAAGTACAATGCGATCAAATATGAGTTGCTGTCGAGTCACCTTTGGAATTTTTGTTTACATGGGAATTCGTATTTAACTTGAACTTTCGAAGGCGACTCGACAACAACTCATTTTTGATCGCCCGTTATGTTTATAATGAAAAGTACAAGTAATACTACATCGATCCCTTCGTCTAAACGTTTTTGATGTCAGCATTTAAATGACAGAATGCAATTTTAATTACTTGCTCAAAACCTATAGAGTGGACGAAATAAAAGTACCTACAATAATTCACATATCTGCGCACTGATTTGAATAAAAACAGTTTTATTAAACTGATAGCTCACATTAAATGGGCATAATAAAGGCACTTTAATAAATATATGTCGAGTTTCGGTCAGAAAAGCGATCATTATCAGAAAACAGCTGAATATTTATAGTAATTCATTGAAATTCGCGTTAAAGGTTATGTGTGAATAATAAAACCTATGTGAATGCACAGTTTTACTACCTGATTTCTTCAGTAAAAAAAGGTTAAATCTAGAGCCTTAAAAAATAGATATGGTATACTATACCCCTCTTTTCTTTTGAAGATTCGGTGCTTATTTTGTTCTTCTTACTAGTGTGGGAGGGTATACAAGGATGAAACTTTTAATAGGTACTACAAACAGAATCAATCCAGCTATGTTTAATTCTGAGATACAGGGTGAAACCGAAAAGTTTGACTGTTTAGAATGTTATCGTATCCTAATACCCATGTAGGATAGGAAACGTAAAAATTGCTATTCAAGATATTTTAACGTACAAATCAGTGACGTAGTGAAAAAACTTTTAGACCACAGTTTCTCAGATGTGACCCAATGTTGGTATTTTTAAATGTAACATTATTTGCATTTTTTTTCCTGATTAGGTACATTGATTTATCACAACCCATATGTATTTTTTTAATTTTAGTCTTGAAAACTGTTTTTAAATAGTACGCCATTGATTCATTGTTTATTCATTTATTGTATCCATGGTAGCTGATAACAATTTGGCTGACGGTAGATGTCAGTTCAAAATTTTGAAAAATATATGTGTTGTACACAATCGGGAAAAGGAATGCAAAAATTGACAGTAAAATATACAGGGTGTTGCGTTTAATAAATACCAACTTTGGGTCAAATCTCAGAAACGGTGGCCCAAATTTTTTTTTGACTACGCCACTGGTTTCTATATAAAAATATCTAAAACAGGCAGTTTTTACCTTTTTTCTAAATGACATGGGGAGAGATATGATAACCTCCCTAAAAGTAGTCTCAACCAAAATAAAACACGCTGAGTACACCCAGCGCTTGATTTGAGAGTTGAAACCTCACTCAGGGCCTTAACCAGAAAAAATGTTTTTTATGCAGTCATGAATTTGTATTGGCTATTTTTATTATCGCTGTTAAATATTATGACACGAAATTTACAAAACCTCTGCAGTATGATCTCAGCATTATTTATTGATAGGTTCAAGTCACAAATTTCGTTGAGAAAAATCAAAACTGTCCAAGGAAATTTGGTATTTTGACCTGGGAGCGTAGTTTGCAAAGAAAACCGTCGCTTTTTGGTATCATCTACGATACAATTTTTTTTACTTGTCCGAATATCCTTATTGAACTCATTTGAAAGTCCCTTTTTAAACAGCGTATTATTATTATGCAGACGACAGGTATTTTATGATGTCAACGTTTCAAAACACTCTTCGGTATTAGTTATAAGTCGGAGGCGAATTAGACGCAAGTAGAGTAACCCTATTAATCATCTACAGTGCCAAAATTTGTGCCGAACTAGCCTTCGGCTCCCTCAATAATTGTTCTATGATTAATTGATCCGAAAACGTTTCAGAACACTTCTATATTATAATTATAAGTGACATAGAGCTTGAACTTCTCTGTACAATGATATCAAATACGTTATAAGTTTATAACTACTTTAGAAATTAAAGCTACAGTAATGTGTTTAGAAGCTATCGCAGTAGCTGTGGAAATTTAAACAAAAACATAAAATAAGAGGAAGCAAAGAAAACAAACGAAAAGCAGCTACAGGAATAATTATTATAACTTATAAGACAAATTTAAATACATTGCACTTGCTTCCTATATATGTATTATCATTACATTCATTACACAGTACATTACACTTCTTAACCATTATCATCATTTGTGTAACTATTATTTTTTACATTGTGGTTTTTATAAGTTATATTGTTCACTAAACTAATTTTGTGACAGACATGACAAGTGAAAAATTCTCTTTTGTTTTTGGTTAAATTTCCACAGTTACTGCGATTGGTTCTAAAATAATATAACTGCCGCTTTAATGTCTAATGTAATTATAACATATATACCTATTTGTTCAAGCTCTTTAAGAATATTACAGTAAAAAAGGTTTTCTAATGCTTTTTTTTTAAATATGTAGCCTTATCAAAAATTGAAAGTAGACTATTTTTTCTTCTTACACTATTTTCCTATCTCCAATAATAAAAGGAATAGGTCCTACGCTTGGACACGCAGAATCAATCTCAATGTATACGTACCAAATCGCAGATTTTGCGTCACCCAGGGGCGGACTGGCCCGGGGGGGCGGGTGGCGATTGCCACCTGGCCTGTACGTCATAATGGCCCGTTGGAAATTTATAAGTATGTGCTGTATTTAGTTTCTTGCACTATTAATAAGTTATTAACACGCTTCTCTAATTGGGGTTGATGTTCGGTTGTTAAAAAAATAAAAAATTCTGTTTTAATTGAAGTGTTTTACAATGAATTTATCATTTTTTGTCGTAGCATGAAAGTGATGAAATACAATGATAGGCGACGCGCCTCGTTTGGATTGTATATTTTGTTACTTTTAATTATCAGCTGCAATTTAAAAAAAACCTGTATTGTAATTGATTTCCGAAAAAGGAGTACTTTAAAATGAAGCAAAAAATGTTTTTGTGGTGCACCGCAGAGCTACCCCCCGCCCCCATGATTACTACACTAATACTTTAATGGCCCGTAACCTATGCAATTCCACCTGGCCCGCCCCTGACTAGAAACCAATTTCGAAAGAAAATTCAAAGGGCTGTAACTATTGAACTAGAAGCCCAATCTTGGAACTGTTTGAAATTATAGATTCTACAGGCCACATTCTATAAGAAAATTTTTTTCCGGGTCGATCTGAGACAATTTTTTTCAGGCTCAAAAAAAGGCAGTGTATAGGTATATAACCTTCCTTTTTTACCAAAAATCGACTGCACCAAAATTTCTCGGGAAAACACTTTTTTTTATTAATTTTGGTGCGTAGAATCTAAAACAATTCGTACTTTTTCGATCGGACTTCTCAATCAAAAGTTATGGACTAGAAACCAATTTCGTAAGAAAATTCAAAGGGCTGTAACTTTTGAACTAGTAGCCCAATCTTGGAACTGTTTGAAATTATGGATTCTACAGGCCACATTCTATAAGAACATTTTTTTCCGGGTCGATCTGAGACCATTTTTTTTCGGGGCTCAAAAAAAGGCAGTGTATAACCTTCCTTTTTTACCAAAAATCGACTGCACCAAAATTTCTCGGGAAAACACTTTTTCTTATTAATTTTGGTGCGCAGAATCTAAAACAATTCGTACCTACTTTTTCGATCGGACTTCTCAATCAAAAGTTATGGGACTAGAAACCAATTTCGAAAGAAAATTCAAAGGGCTGTAACTTTTGAACTAGTAGCCCAATCTTGGAACTGTTTGAAATTATGGATTCTACAGGCCACATTCTATAAGAAAATTTTTTCCGGGTCGATCTGAGACAATTTTTTTTTCGGGGCTCAAAAAAAGGCCTTTTTTACCAAAAATTGACTGCACCAAAATTTCTGGGGAAAACACTTTTTCTTATTAATTTCGGTGCGTAGAATCCAAAACAAATCGTACTTTTTCGATCGGACTTCTCAATCAAAAGTTTTAATCATCAGCTGCAATTTAAAAAAAAACTGTATTGTATTTGATTTCCGAAAAAGGAGTATTAAAATGAAGCAAATTGCCCGTAACCTATGCAATTCCACCTGGCCCGTAAGTACCCAGTCCGCCCCTGGCGTCACCAATAGTTTATTTAAATGTAAAAGTGTAACAGAAGAAAGAAGAGCTAAAGAAGAAGACATGAGAAAATGCCGCATTGCGGGCACTGCTTGTCACACAACATATGGAAATTTATTCACGTCTTTATGTTGCGATCACTGGCGAATATTGGACCAACTTGCACCGAAAAGGGATCTTAGACGAGAGAAAATATGTAAAGGCAAGACAAGTCAAGAATGTATAATATTATTCAAACCAGAAAGACTATCAGAATCCGTTTTCACCATTAGGGATGTAAATTATCCTATACCATCATGATTTTACACCCTTTTCAATATAAAAACATGCTGACTTTAGGTATGTAAATCTTTGCTATGAGTTTAGCCGTTTACACAAAAAGAATTTGGCCGAACAAATTCAATCTGAATCAAAGAATACAATCACAATTTATTTATAACTAAATCATGTAATTTCATATAGTTATAGAATATGCAATAACCCTCGAAGATGGGGTGACTAAGTTTAGTCAAATTCATCAATATTTTCCATTGTCTCATTTACTTGTACCTATAAGAACTTTCGCATAAATGGAAAGGTGCGAAACTTCCTGCCGAACGCAAAGCCCAAAAGATTATCATTAACAATAGTCGTAAAGCCCATTTTAATAGCCAGGTGCAGTCGAGGAATAAAATGAAACAAACACTCCCTACAAGAATACCAGTATGGAAACAAGATTATAAATGTTAGCAAATGTTATAGGACGAAGGACGCATTCAGAAAACAAACAAGGCAAGTTCAGGCGCTCTGTGCGATCCCGGGCAAGCGCCGCTGAAAAATCCCCTCCACCAATCTGAAACACTCCCGCGCTCCGCTGAAAACGCCCATTTTGTGTACACAAAGGCGGGAATATGAATAAAATACATTTGCTACCGTTCTTGGTCCCGGTTTCTGATTGGTTTCATATTTCTGCCTATCCTAGTGGAGAGTTTACTTAAGGTTTCCCACCGTCTAACATCTTCAGTTAGCAGTTTCAGTTGGATCTGTGAAGTTCGCTCGGTGTGAAGTTTCCGTTTTAAATTGTGTAGTTATGCCAATATGGTGAAAAGAGAGGAGACTTTAATTTTCTTACCGACAATGGCTGCACGTACCCCTCTGAAATCGTCGTTCTCGATCAGTTCGATTCTACCTGAAACTGTTGAGGAATCGCGAAGCCTGACTACAAGTCCGGCCAATATTTCCGAGCCCGAACCTTCAGATTCCGACTCAGACCTGGACGTGACCGGGACGCCTCCACCACTGGATTGTTCGAAGACGGCGCAGACCGCCGCTTCAGGTGACAAGAGTGACGAGAAGAAGCCGTGCGAGAAACCGCCGTACAGCTACAACGCGCTAATAATGATGGCCATTAGGAATAGTCCCGAAAAGCGTTTGACGCTCAATGGAATCTACGAGTACATCATGAGAAACTTTCCTTACTATCGCGAAAACAAGCAAGGCTGGCAGAATTCGATCAGGCACAATTTGAGTTTAAATAAGTGCTTTGTGAAGGTGCCGCGGCATTACGACGATCCAGGCAAGGGCAACTACTGGATGCTGGACCCATCGGCTGAAGACGTTTTCATTGGAGGCACGACGGGAAAACTTCGCCGACGTTCAACGGCGGCGACTCGATCGCGTCTGGCCGCCTTCAAACGGACAGTGATGTTAGGTGCCGCCGGAATGTATCCCGCTCCGTTTCCCGGTTATACCCCGACTTTAATGGGACTCTATCCAAACCCCGCGCTTTTAGCGTCGATGTACCAAAGGTATAACCCGTATTTCCCAGTTCTACCAAAACCTACGCCGGTAGTCGCACCGACGTTCAGCGTCGAAAGGATCTTAGGACCGCCCGACGCCACCCCGTTCTTACGACATCCACCAGCATTCGACACCTACGGCCCGCTTCGACTGCCCCATCATCCACCAACATCCCTAACGCATCCCGTCGGCGTCTCACCATCCAGTTGTTCCAGTTCGCCGGAACCAAGAACGAGTTCGGACAGTTTGTTTAAACCCGTTACAGTAATTTCCAGGCAAAGTTGATTGAACTAAATTGTGATACCTACTATTCTTGACTGATGATGATCTCGTTGTGAACGTCCCGGTTTGTTGTTTTTTTTTTATTTTTGTACATATTTTATATTATATTTAACGATAAATGTTTGTAAATGAGAGCGTATTATATGTAGATAGCAAATTTTAATGTAAATCATGTAAATAGTCCTGCAAAATAGTGTATTATATGAATTAAATCTATCACTATGACTTATTTGAGCTCTTTTATTCAGTTTGCGGAAAACGTGTCGAATTTTCTTAGCAGGCTTAATTTTCTAATGCAAAAGAGAGAAAAAATGCGATCAATGAAAGATGCATAACAAATTTAGAATATGTGCGTCTATGTAATTAAGTAAAAAGAAGTGCTCTTGCGACGGTTAGTTATACCACAGATATACATGCCTATACGTAAAGTATATCTGTGGTTATACCTACTTGAAATGATAGTCTCCATCTTCCATTTCACATTATCCCCGAACCAAAATCTGGAGCAGTAGGTAAGATCAAAGAGACTCGGGAAATGCTAAATCAAATCTCTTTGGTCAAAATTTAAAACATCGTGTAAATTGTAGTTTTGAGTATCGCATTTTACCTTGTGCATACGATACAGAATAATAAATCTTCCGATCTGTTCTGGGTAAACTGTAATTAATTACATTGAAAGAATTTCAGTAATCCGAACATCAGGACTCTTATTAGGTAATATATACCTACGTAAATACCTAAGTACCTATACGTTATATAGGAAGGCGCCGAATTTAATTAACACACATGAGTAATTTATCGCCATTACAAACCAAATTAAATTAAAAAAAATTGAAGGTCTCAATATGCCTATGGTAGTGCATGCGATGAATTTTTTGGAAAATATTGTGAGAAAAAACAGGATTTATTAACATTCCTCCATAGAAAGTCAATCACTGATTTTAGGATTCTTTAGAGGGTTTGCAACGAGGTTTGCAAGGTTCAAGTTTTATTTCGTAAAGTAGGTTTACTTATCCTAAATTAGAAAAGTTAACTACCAGTTAAATCTCGATAGCCATAAACCTAGGAAATAGGAATACAAGGTATTTTGATTTTTGGTGCTTGTTTAGGGGTACCTACGCAGAGGTCAATAATGTTTGGAAATTCTCATATTGAACATTTTGTGATATTAATGTTCCAAAGGGTGGTTCAGTAAGGCCGAGGGGGTAACCACTCTAACGTACACGTATTTCTAGAAATCTGGAAATCATTTGCGATTTTTAAGCGATTTCGTTGATTTCTCGAAAACCACTTGGGATTTCTGGTTGATTTCCACGATTTCCTGGAAATCACTTGCGATTTCTCATTGATTTCCCGGAAATCATTTGCGATTTCCCTATATTATGCAATGATTTCTATAATTTCTTTAAAGTTACATAGGATTTGTGGCGTGTGGTGGTGTTGTAAGGTAAAAAATGCAAGGCAAATACGAACCTATAGTGGTATAATATTTGTAGATACGTATTACGTCGTCACTATGTATCTTTTTGGTCTGCAAATGAAATCACACCTAGATTGCGTTGCATTTTAAAGTTCAGTTTGCAGATAATGAATAGCTAATAACTATTAATAAAAGTATTTAGTTAACCAGCATTTTCTTAAGTGCTCACAAAATAATAAGAATAATATTAATATTATATTTAGTAAATTTGCACAATATACCATTTGCTAAAATCTTTGAAAGCATAGTATAAATATCTACCATCATCTGTTTTGGAATCGAATATTAATGTATCGCAATATTAGATCTGATAAGCACTCTATCGTGATCTTGACTTCACATCGACAAAACAAGTAAAGAAACCCTTTCTAATGATGTTGGTTGTTCTCTATCCAATAATATTATTAAAACACAACAAGAGAAGATACAAAGATATAAAGATTTCGCTATAGAAATTAAACGAGTATCTTAACCAAGTTTTGATAATACCAATAGTAATATTAGCAAATATTTCTAAAAACCTCTATGGCTACCTGAAAATCTCAATTTACCTGACGGACTAATTGCAAAAAGCAGTTTACTTGAAACTTAATCTAGCCGGGAAATTCCTATCCTTGGGATAGAATGAAGTTTGATTTCATGAATAGAAATACCTACCGCTAAAAATGCACGATAAATAAAATAAAAGTAAAATAATAATGACGTTTTATTTAGCGCCCAAGCTATAACAAAAATATAGACATAAAACCTCGCATAAAACGTATTATTTATGTCTAGGACGTATGTGAAGTATTGCTAAATATTTACAGCGCTACTTTTAATTTTTTTAAATATTTTTTCTATTTTCTGTTTTTCATATCTTGTTAGGGTAAATGGACCACTATCTACCCTTTAAGTCCACAGGTCCATAGAATATGTAGGATCTTTCTACATTTTGGATGTCCTCAACTTTCGGCCATATGTATGAGTCAAGATCGTGTTTTAGAAATTTCATCTTGTAGACCTGTTCACACGCGGTGTTTAATTTCCTGATTTCGATTACTCGACCTATGTACCATGTATCATGTATGAAGGACAATTTCTCAGTTTCAGTTTTGGTGTGGTAAGAACATGATACTAAGCAGACTGATTTGATAATTTTTTTGAATTTGTGAGGAATATTTTTGTTTATGGAAACATCACCTTTTTTAAATGTCTATTCAACTTGTTGAATCCAGATCTGCACATAATTCTACATAAGATTTTTTAGTTTTGATAACACTTTTTGGTTTTGAGGAGACATTCGCTCGGCTCCGGCGGGTTTGCCGCCTCGCCTCACTCTGTTTCGTAACAGTTCGTAGCTCGGCTTCGCCTCGCACTGTTCACTGTTCAGCAAATATAATTTCTCAGTTTCAGTTTTGGTGTGGTAAGAAAATGCTATTAAGCAGACTGAATTGATATTTTTTTGAATTTGTGAAGAATATTGTTTACGAAAACATCACCTATACAGGGTGTTTTTTTGGGAGCTTTAGTTAAAAGTTTCTGGGAAAGTAAAATAGGTAGGTTTTTGAAAATTTGTACTTAGGAGTTACTCTGAAGGCCGAATCGATGTAAAATATTTTCAAAATGGCCGCACTTCCGGAAACACCGGAAGTAGATAGTAACTTCGTTATTTTAAATGGCAACCCCTATTTTTTTATTGCTTTTTTGGATTCTACGTGAAATTTCACTTCTTTTGATACCCATATGTCGATATCTACCATTTATGGTTTTTAAGTTATTTTGACTTTAAGAAAAAAAATGGCGGATGCAGATGGTACCTTGATAATTGATTACTTGCAAACGGTTGTAGTCATGGCAACCTATTTTTATCAGTGCATAGAGAATGAATAGGGCTTTCTTTTAGTGCACTTAAAAAAAAGTTAAGTTGCGTACGACCGCCCCTATGGATATCCAAATTTATGAAACTTCAAAGACTAAAAACTCAGTTTTTTTAAATGGAATGACCACGTTCTTACTATTCCATGAGATAGAGAATCGAAATGGGCATATTTTGACAATACATGTTCCTATAGCTATCTTTAACAGTTTCTGACTTATTCCCATTTTATTGAATTGACACTATTTTTTTAGGATTCTCTTTTTAGTAGTCGGCCATGATTCTATAACAATTGAATTTTAAACAAATCTAGTGACACTAATCCATCACCCACTGTTATAGGTTAACATAAGTTTTTCAAAAATCGAAAAATGACTCGCAGTGGTTTCACCTATTTTGGAATTTAATTGTTATTTATGGTGAAATGGGCAGAATCGCGGCGCGTGCTTTCCGTACATTCATTCGAAAACTAGAACGAAATTGTATGAATTTTTGAAATTTTGTACCCCTAATGCACTACAAACCGTTGAAGCACAAGTTATACAAAGCTCTACAAGAGAATATTTAAGAAAATGAATTGAATTGCAAATGCAAGATTAACAAAATAAATTCAATGCAAAATATAAAAAACTTTGTTGAAACATTTTTGGTATGGAATTGTTGCTAGAACAGATATCGCATTACCTCTCTTAATTTCCAGACTTATACGTTGTTTAAGAAATTCAGTTGAACGACTCTGTTTAGATTTTTCAAAAATTTTCTGTCCTATATCCTTATTAAATGAGTTATTTATTAATGAATTATTTAGACTAGAACTAGAATCAGTGGTATTAAAGAATCCATTCCTTGATTTGTTTAAAATTCGATTGTTATAAAATCATGGCCAACTACTAAAAAGAAAATGCGAAAAAAAATGGCATCAATTCCGAGATCAATTCAATGAAATGGGAATAAATCAGAAACTGTTAAAGATAGCTATAGGAACATGTAATATCAAAATATGCCAATTTCGATTCTCTATCTCATGCAATATTAAGAACATGGTCATTCCATTTAAAAAAAACTGAGTTTATAGACTTTGAAGTTTCTTAAATTTGGATCTCCATAGGTGCGGTTGTACGCAACTTAACTTTGTTTTAAGTACAGTAAAAGAAAGCCCTATTCATTCTCTATGCACTGATAAAAATGGGTTGCCATGACTATAACCTTTTTCAAGTAATCAATTATCAAGGTACCATCTGCATCCGCCATTTTTTTTTTCTTAAAGTCAAAATAACTTAAAAACCATAAATGGCAGATATGACATATGGGTATCAAAAGAACTGAAATTTCACGTAGAATCCAAAAATGCAATAAAAAATAGGGGTTGCCATTTAAAATAACGAAGTTACTATCTACTTCCGGTGTTTCCGGAAGTGCGGCCATTTTGAAAATATTTTACATCGATTCGGCCTTCAGAGTAACTCCTAAGTACAAATTTTCAAAATCCTACCTATTTTACTTTCCCAGAAACTTTTAACTAAAGCTCCCAAAAAAACACCCTGTACAAAGTGATTTTTTTTCAAATATCTATTCAATTTGTTGAATCCAGATCTGCACATAATTGCACATAAGATTTAAATATTTCGTTATCACTTTTTGGTTTTGATGAGACATACGCTCGGCTGTCATGATAATAAATTTATAACTGTCTTAAGACGAATTAATTTATAACGATAATTATTATTTATCACTTACAATTTATCTCGCAATTTATAACAATAACTCAGAAATATCGAAGTTGGAAATGTCGTATAATGCAATCCAATTTGCTTATATAATAAAGTCGAGTGTTCGCGAGCGGTTACGAACATTCCAGAACAAAATACGTCATATTTCCAACCAACTTCTA